GCAGGACTCACAGTAGGTTTATTTACATATTTCAGCTTCTCACAGTCCGCAAGTGAAGTCAGTTTCATTCCCGCATCAGTCTGTGAGTCAGCTACAACCTCTGAAGATACCCTTGGCGATGAGGAACAAAGGGAGGAGAAATCTTCTGTGATGAATCAAGCCTGTGACGATAAAGTTGCCGGTTCAAATACTTCGGAAGGCTTAGGTACAGCTAATGTTACATTGTTACAGACTCTGTTCAGCAGGAAATCCTCAATATCACTGGACAAATAGATGAATCTCAAGCTACCTCTTCTACTGCTTCTATAAAGGAAGTTAATGGCAGAATGACAGATGTGACATTCACCAATGTCCTAGAAAATGAATTAAAATCAGACACGATACATATGGTTACCAAAATGCACTAGTCAGTAAATGATATTGCCATATCTCAGAAAGAGGAACCGTTAGGGAACATTGTGCCACTTCTCTGAATTTTGGGGCCTGGACTACCTGTATAATGGAAAGTGAGAAAGTAGATGAGGGAAACATTATGAAGAAATATGCTGACCACGAGGCATGTATTGGTTCTGGGAATAAAGTTGTTGAGGTTCTGGAAATTCCAAATCAACAGTTAGATCGCTACTTTGAAGATTCCAAGGTGTTGGTTGACAGGAAGCCACTATCAGCCACTGATAAAAAAAAAGGAATCAGCCGCTGTTTATGCTAGCTCGGGAACTACCATTGAGGCCAGAACGGTTGGTGAAAATGCCAGGGAAATGACACCAGTTTATATTCTTTTGCTAGATGGAGGTATAGGTTTTGATAACATGGTTCACACAGTTACGAATAGAAGAGGGATGGAGAAGGGTGTTGCTTATGCGGAAAATCAGGACCAAGCTCATTTGGGTGAGACCAAGCTCATTTGGGTGACTGTGTTAAAATACTCCCGGATGCCTTGGCAAAATCATGGGAGCAGGATGATCCACAGATAATTTCATTGGATGAATTTGTTCTTGATAACATTATGAAAGAAAAATTCATGCAATAAAGAAGTTCAATGCTGTTATCAGATTTCAGAATCATGACCAGATTATGTCTGCCTTATGTGAGAGACTGCTGAATTATGATGAAGATCTGGGTAAGCAAGTTGCTGCTGTTCTCTATGATGTAGCAGCTGAAGTGACTACAAGGGCAGCTGGATTTTATCTTGCAGAACTTTTATATATTGACATCGGTTACAAAGAAGAGGCTCTAAGTGTAATCCCAGGGAGTTCTTATATCCAACTTCGGCTCTTGTTTGCTCGGAAAGAAGTGAAGATGAAAGGTCAAGTAATGAAGGTCAGGGTCATAGTTACATAAATCGTTCAAGAGCCCACGATCTGCGTTCCGAACGTTCCGTACCCAATCGCGGTACGAAAGCGTTCCAAACGCTTCCAGGATCGCCGGCGGACACGGTTCCCAGATCGTTCCCAGTCGCTATTAAATTCGTTCGCAAACACTCTCCAGTTCACTCGCAATCCTTATCCAGTTTGTTCGCAATTGCTTGATTTCGATCGCAGACGCACCAAACGCTATCAAGCCTCGTCATTCCCTTTCCGCGTGTAGATGCGATGACCCGCAACGTTTGATTTCAAACGTTCTTACAGGCTCGAACCAACCTCTTAGTTTTCTGCTCCAGGACTCTTCATTTTCCGACCACACCTACTCTTCCAGTATCGCCTACTTAATGGAGTGAAAATTGTTCCGTTTTGAACTTCTATTCACGTTATGAATTTTTATTTAGTTTTTCTGTGTTTTCAGTTTTGAGTCAAAAGTTTAATAATATAAATGTTTTTTATTTTGTTTGATGTTATGAAATCTGTCATTGTTTAATATTATGAAATCCGTATTTTACTAAAGTACCAAAACACAAGGCACATCGTACCGAACATAAGGTACAACGTACCGAACGCGTACCGAAATGAACCTACCCCCTCCGAACCGGATTCGCTAGACCTAGCGAATCGCGTTACCGATCCTCGTTCCCGTATCGAATCATTCCGCGATTTATGTGAAGTGAAAGCGGAAGACCAGGGCTTATTCCTATCACCCACCTTGAGGACAAGGTGGTCGTTCAGGGGGGAGTATAGATAGGAATGGGCCTATTAGTGTAAATAATAATAAGTGGGCATATTATTATAGATAATAAATGGGCTTGTGTTATACATAGTAAGGAAGAAGGAAGGGAAAAAGTAGGCAGAAACTAGGAAGGACTTGGGTCTTGGGTCTTCAACATGATTTGGAGAAACAACAAAATGCCAACGAGTTGGAGGAGGAGTACTCGTATCCCCTTATTCAAGAATAAAGGTGATGTACAAGATTGTGTCAACTATCGAGGGATTAAGCTTATGAGTCACACCATGAAACTTTGGGAGCCAGTGATTGAGCAAAGACTTCGAAGAATTGTGAAGATTTCAGAGAATCAATTCGGTTTTATGCCTGGTCGCTCAACAACTGAGACTATTCACCTTCTTCGGCAACTTATGGAGAAGTATAGAGACGCTCACAAGGATCTTCATTTGGTGTTCATTGACTTAGAAAAGGCTTATGATAGGGTACCTTGAGAAGTTCTTTGGTGGGCCTTAACTAGAAAAGGCATATCACGCAAGTATATCAACATCATCATGGATATGTATGAGGATTGTACTACAAGTGTCCGTAATAGTGTAAGGAGGACTACGGAGTTCCCTATTAATATTGGAGTGCACCAAGGATCAGCTATGAGCCCTTTCTTATTTGTCATAGTCATGGATGAACTTACGAAGTCAATTCAAGGCGAAATACCGTGGTGCATGATGTTGGCCGACGATATTGTATTGATTGATGAGACGCAATCAGTTCTTAAAGCAAAGTTGGAAGTATGGCGAGAAACATTGGAGAACAAGAGTTTCAGACTAAGTCGGAGCAAGACAGAGTACATGGAGTGCAAGTTTGGTGGAGGTAGAAGCAGTGGTAATAGTGGAATTACTCTAGATGGTAAGGAGATACCGGTCAGCGATATGTTCCGTTAGCGATATGTTCCGTTACTTGGGCTCCATAATTCAGAAGGACGGTGAGTTAGATGGAGATGTATCCCATAGAATCAGAACAGGGTGGATGAAGTGGAAGAGTGCGTCAGGATTTCTATGCGATAGAGGTATGTCGACTAGACTGAAGGGTAAGTTTTATAGGACATCAATTAGGCATGCATTACTGTATGGTGTAGAGTGTTGGGCGGTGAAACAATGTCACATTCAAAAGATGAGTGTGTCGGAGATGCGCATGCTGCGTGGGATGTGTGGGCATACTAGGAAGGACCACATGAGGAATAAGACAATCAAACAAAGGGTGGGAGTAGCACCTATTGAAGACAAGATGCGAGAGTCGCGTCTACGGTGGTTTGGTCATGTGCGTAGAAAACCGAGTGATGCACCTGCTAGACGAGTTGAAATGTATGGAGAAGAGGCAAGGAAGAGATGGAGAGAAAGGCCCAAACAGAGTGGGTTAGGGGAGTCCAAAGTGATATGATTCTTCTTGGGTTAGATGAGGGTATGGCTTTGGAGAGAGCAAAGTGGAGGGCGAGTATTTGTGTGGAGGAGTGATCTCGTATTATCTTTTTCCCTCATTTTTTTCTTGTTTTTTTAATCCTTTTTTCCTTATATATATATAAACATTATTTTTATCCTTTTTATTTTATCATTTTTAGGTATATTCATCTCTTTTTATATTATCTTTTTCATAATAGCTTATCTTTTTTTATCTTTGTTTTCTTTCTTTTCCTTTTGGTGGTGATATCATGTATCGATTCATGTTAGCCGACCCCAATATCTTTTGGGATTAAGGCTTGGATGTTGTTGATGTTGTTGTTTGTTTTATTATTTTATTCAATTCATCCTTCTCTTATGGGAAGTTTCAACCACGCCTAAAAACTATGAAAGAGGATCCATGATCCTAAATTGCTAACATGTGCCCGAAGCACTTTTCAAATTAAACCCAACTACTAAGCCATTATTGAAACAAGCTTACACAAATTAAAAAGGCAATAATTATTATTATAGTCCACATTGTTGAATGTGTTATGGGTAAGCATTGAGTCTCTTGTTCTATTGCATCGTTGGCATGTCTTACCAAGGAACGAAGCAATACACTCCCCTAGAGATCTCAAGCTTGAAGTGTGGGTACAGCTGACTAAATTCTCTAAGTCCTCCGAGTCTCCGACATAGTGTCATCAGCTTGAGAGCCTTCCCATAATGCTAAAATCTACTTGGTTTCCTATATGCATGCATTCAGGGATGATCCCTATCAGCGATGCCAGTCGGGCCCAAGAAGCAAAGCCAGTAAGGCCCAACCAGAACAAGTAGAACAGTAGTAGACTGAAAGTGACTAAACATGGGCAGCAAGGTTATTGTTATTGTTATCAAGGTTCTAAAAATCGGCTTAGACGCCCCCCTAGCGCTAGGCGGTAACACAACACCCTGATTTCGACTTAATCGCTTAGATAAATGTTTGAGCGCCTAGGTCACCTTCAATGAATTATTTCACAATCCAACTTATTTTCTCTGCTTTGTCCTAAAAACATTGTTGGATCAAAAATAATTTTTTCCAATTTAACGTATTTAAATATTGCTACACTGTTATGGAGTATAACACAAATCATAACTTATAAATCCAACAACCCTAAACCAAAGTATAGTTTTATACTGATAAATTGAGAATGTATGAGACTACAATTGAACACTAGTAACAGTTGAAAATATTTACAAAAAAAAGTATTTATTAAAAACATACTCCGTATTTATTTATTTACCAAGACATATCTGTCCTGATTAATATTAACTTGTTAAACTGAACTTATAAAGCAAAATATATAACTTGTACATATATGTGTAAATATATACATATATATGTATACATACATATACCTCGCCCACACATACACACAGCAAGCATAACCATGAGAACATACTGCTTACATAAAATAAAAAATGGCCATTGCTTACTGGGTCATTGGCAAAGAGATCAAGCGAGGCAGGGAATCCAAATGTCACGAGTGTTTGGTTGAGGTACTTAGCACAGTGCTCCAGGTTATTAACGTCAGCAAAACTGTACTCGTTACTGAAAAATTGAATTAAAATGTCGAATTAACTAAGAAAGCACAGTCTGCTCATCAAATTGTAGTGGATAACTCCAATAATATTTTAAAGATTACAAAACCCTATCAACTCGCGAGAAGAAACGCAATGCAGGCGTCGTGTGTGCATTGTACCTGATAGCACCGCCAAGATTGCTTGGCTGCAGAGATGAACGCTGCAACGAAGAAAAAACACAGTGAAACGGGTAAAATTCGTAAGATTCGGCATTAGCAAGTTTCCTTGAGGTAAGAGAGTGTACTCGGAGATCGAGATCGGTTTCTGTCGACGGCATCCTCCCAACCACAGCCGGATCTCGGATTTTTCTTCTAGTACTACAACTGTCTCAAACCCCAGAACCGAAAGAAAACGGAAAAATATACTCCTATTCTTGATAATATTGTACTGTACTATACAGAAGTTTTTAAATAATATGATAGCATACCGATTTTTGAGTGAGAACCGTACCGAACTGTCCCGAAAAATTGGCTATATACAATAATATATATATGTAACCGTACCACATTACAAAGAACCAAGCTTTACTCAAATATTTTACGTAGTATTATTATATATTATACGATAATATTATATTTGTCATGATGTGAAGACATGTCTTTTGTTTTTTAGTTTGACTATCACTTTTGATTTTTAGTTGAATGTTATATTTCTTTATTACAGTTTTGACTATTAGTTTTGTATTTCAGTTATGTTTGATTTTAATCTTGTGGTTCCTTCTCTTCAATTTTGTATAGTTACTTATTAATGGCAAAACCTAAAATATTTTTGACTTTGTAGGAGTTAATTATTTAAGAATCGAATAATATCGAAGAATTGTACCGAACCATACCAAAAATTGGTACGGAACGGGACAGGTTCTATATATATTTAGGACGGTACCGGTTCTTTGATTTTAAAAAATACGTACTTTGGGTCGGGACATGTTTTTTGAAATAACCGTCTCGTACCATCTTATGTTCACCCCTAATTCAAATATATCAAACCAGAAACATTCATATCCATCTGAAATTTTTATTATTATTATTATTATAGAAATGGCATTTTATTATTATTATTATTATTACTCCGTACTTAGGAGTATTATTATTATTATCATTATTACGATAATTGTAATTATAAAAATAAGGATAATGATAACGATAATATAATGATATGTAAGTGTAATTATAATTATATTTACAATTCTAGGTATGGTTATAGTTATAATAAGGAATTGGGAATTTTATCAATTTGAGACCTCAAAGATAGTTCATTATCACTAAGAGACCTGAAAAATAAAAGATGTGTTTACTTAGATTTTTTCAGTCTCAGACCCGACCCGATAAAATCATACTTAATCTAATCAAACCAAATCAAATTTCAAAGTTATAAAATACACAAAGACCAGACATTTATCAGACCAGATCAGATCAGACTTAAATAGGCCAGACCAGACTAGACCAGCTAATTTGAATCCAAGTAAAAAAACATTCAAAGTGTGTCGATATAGGACCCAAATGATTGAAAACTGACAACCTAAGACCTAAAGCTTTAATATTTTTTATTTAAAGAAATTAAATATCAATTAATCACAAAAAAGTAATAAAGTTTTGTGAAGAACAAATCATCGAAAAATAGCAACAGAATTAATAAAAAAAAATAGATCAAAATCTATGATATTTTAGGTCTTCAAGAGGAATTCTCAACGATTAAGTATTCAAGAGGAGATCAATAAAGTAATAATCGCAAACCGTGATCAATGAGCATTTCAATGAGTAGAAATTAGGAAAACCAAGTTTCCATCTCAATTGATATAGGTATCCTCATCATTCATTCATTTTAGTTTTAATATTTTCAAATTCATACAAAACTAAACCCTCCTTTTGTTACAATTTCACATAACAAGAATACATTTTCATGTGGATACGAACTCTACTACGGTATACTACCATAGCTAGTGCTATTACTAAAATTATTTATGGGGTGGGGGCGACAACGGCGTGCCAGATCATCTTGGTGTAGTTGCTAGCAAAAGGCACCATGTTTGTGTGTGAAAACCTTGTTTTAAATATTTTCGGAGATATTTGAGTTTGTGGTAAAGACTCGTTAAATCCAGAAAAGTAATCTTTAACGTTGAATCCAGAGATAGGACAAACCTTTCAAAGTTTGAAAAATAATCTTTAATGTATTGACAATGGGGGATCATGTAGTTCCAGCGAATTTGAAGAATACGCTCAAATGGCGTAGGAGACAAGAATATTGAGGGAGCTCACAACCCTAAATTTAAACCATCAATCCCTTATGTATCGCCTTTTCTAATCTTGATGAAGGCACTGCATTTGAGTTGAAACCGGGGTGATTCAACTTCTTTCGTCATTTCATGGATTGAGAGAGGAAGATCCAAACAAGAACCTCTCTGAATTCCACGTAGTATGCTCAAGCATGAAGCCAAATAGAGTCAAGGTGGAGAAAATCAATCGAAGAACTTTTCCCTTATCTCTAAGACTCGACAAAAGATTGGTTATTTTATTTCCATCGGGAAGTATAGATACATGGACGGCTATGAATGTAACACCCCGCTCAGGTCAGAGGTAGTTACTGTCGAACACTCTTCAGACCTTTAGTACTGCCCTCACAAGCCACCATGAGCCTTTACCGCGCACTTTGTCCTCGCTCGTGCGCTCCCTGAGAAACTTCCCAAGGGTCACTCATCCCAAGACTACTCCCGTGCAAGCACACTTAAATTGGAGTTCTTAGATGAAGAATTCCCTTAAAAGGAGACACACCTTTGTTGGTATAAGTAGTACTATTAATCTGTTTAAATTAAATCTCAAATATTACAATCATCCCCACTTAGGAACGCAACGTCCTCGTTGCGCTCATAAATCAATCTCAATCAAATCCCATAATCTTTCCCCCTGCTAAGTGTCCGCCCGATATCAAACGGATCAGCACACTGTTGTAGGGTTGCTCTAGTACCTCCCGCAACACCCCTCCCCATAGGGCACGAGGTAGTTATTGTTGAACGCTCTACGGACCTCTAGTACTGTCCTCACAAACCTCCATAAGCCTTTAACGTGCATTTTGTCCTCACTCGTGTTGTCGAGTACTTCTAAGTGTATCGTTTTATATTGGTAGATGTCTTCATGTTAGAGTATAGAAGGCATCTTCATTAAGGATGTTTTTACTTGGACTGTAATTTGCCCCAGACCAGACCAGACCAGTCCAGACCAGACCAGACCAGTTCAGACCAAACCAGACCAGACCAGACTTGGATAGTTATAAAAATACAAAGAAACCAGACCTTACCAGACCAGACCAGACCAGACCAGTTCAGACCAGACCAGACCAGATCAGACCAGACCAGACCAGCAAATTACAGTCCAAGTAAAAACATCCTAAATGCATGTACTGTAGACTTGACCGGTCAGCTCTCACATTCTTGTCAACTTACTATTTCGGGAGATATTAAATATTATTCTCATGGATTCTCCAGTCAGTCATGTGCCTTTAATATCTGATCAACGGGTGGGTTACATTAAATGAGCATTTAATGTGTTGCACAGTACATCTTCCATTGAGAGGCTCATATTCGTTAGAGTACATCCCGTTAGTTTAACGGATAGTTCAAAAGTATTCGAGCAATTCTATAGGAGAGCAACACTGAGGCACTTCTGTTGAAGTTCTGTTGGCATTTTTGTCCAGGAGCAGTTCTGTCCGGACTTCAATGTTTCCAACACCAAGTCAAGGGCAGTTCTGTCCTAAAGCCAACAGAACACCTAAGTTCTGGCAGTCTACTATTCTAATCTAAAAAATTATAAACATGAATGAAGGTAAGGTTATTTTTGGCATACAAAATTTGTTGGTGTAACTTTAAAGCTTTTTGACCTTGTACCACACGGCAAAGCCATTGTACTCCTTCCTTAATTTATGCGTCACTAAACGGCTTGCCCATCACTCCGTCAGTACAACCTCACTTAGACTCACTCTGTTTCCCGTCTCCCTTTACGCACCAGAGGCTTTTACGTAGTTTTAGGTTTTAAGTCACCTATAAAAAGTTTATGTTAATAAGTATAAAAAAGTACATAGAGTTTACGTTCTCATTGCAATAAACAAAACATATGTATCTACTCCCATTCGAATTCACTTTTAGTTAACAGTTATACCAAATTATCTTCAAATGTTCCAGCCCACCCTAAATTTCATTTTTAATTAAATTATTAGGGTAAAACAAATTTGTAAAAAATTGTCCAAAAAATGATGTATACCGGCTCAAGCCAATATCTCGCCCTGCTTACGCCATTACCTAGGTTTGACACGACTTTTAAGAAAATACAGGAGAACGAAGTTTTGCTTTTACTATTCTAATCTCAAAAGTAAGAAAAATATTGATGAGTTCACTAAAAGTAAAAAGTGAAATGATAAATAAAGGGATGAAATGAGAAACTAAAAAATTAGCGGGTTTAGTTTTGAAAAGTGTTCATATTCTTTGGACAATCCAAAAAGGAAGACGTATCGAATAAAAGGAAAGTGCTGGTTTTGTTCTTGAAATTTTGGCTAAATACTGTCTAAAAAACTAAGTGTGTCTCTCTACAAAACTCTGTGAAGAGAAAATGTCTAGGTGTTGTTCCAACACCTGCTATGGTAGGAAGAAAATCCAAATGGAATGTGTTGGCATTCTAACTTTCTATCAAAATGCAAAAAACTGAAGCACAATTATTTCAAATACTCCTCAACTATAATCAGTGTTGCATGAATTCTATAATTTTAAAATATGTGTAATGAGAAAAGGGAAAAGTTAAGTATATATAAGGCTTTTGTGCTGAAATTCAGACTCAGTTTGGTCATTCTATCAAAATTTTACGCAGTGACAATGCTAAAGAATTTTTTGGGGCATCCTTTAATCAATTCATGACATCACGGGGTATGCTTCACCAATCTTCTTGTGTTCACACGCCTCAACAAAATGGGGTTGCTGAACGCAAGAACCGACACTTGGTTGATACTGCTCGTACCCTATTATTACATTCTCATACACCACCTCAGTATTGGGCAGATGCTGTGCTCACTGCGTGTCATTTAATAAATAGAATGCCTTCCTCAGTTCTTAATAATGAAATTCCTTAGTCCATTTTGTTTCCTGCTTGTGATTTATTTCCATTGCCACCTCATGTGTTTGGGTGTGTGTGTTTTGTCCATGATACGACACCTGGATTAACTAAAATGGCGGCTAGGTCGATAAAATGTATCTTTCTTGGATATTCGCGACTCCAAAAGGGGTATCGTTGTTATTCTCCATTACTTATGAAACATTTTATTTCAGTCGATGTCACTTTCATTGAGTCGTCCTTTTATTATCCATTATCTTCAGTTAATACCCCATCATGTTTGGACTTCACCTCATATCTTCGGCTCATCCATCAGGAGCCTCCCATTAACCCCCCATCTGATGAGCACCCAAACTGCCCTCCTATGTTAGACCGTCCATTACAGGTATACCATTGACGTCCTCGA